AGAGCGTATTGCACTGGAAATGCATCTTTATTCTAAGGTCCTTTCCTCATTAAACTGTCACTGCCTAAGTACCATCTGTGTCTCTTCTTGTTCACCTAAGAACATTACTTCAGGTTTCCTTCCCCTTTCTTCTGCATCATGAAGTTTCTCCCCACTTTGGATTATTTCCAACGTGTTTTCATTTTATAACACACACACTCTTGTATACCTCTCCAGCTACTGCTTCCATTTTCTGTTTGCCTTACTACAGGACTCTTTGAAATCTGGAGACCTTAGTCTCCAATTCCTCTCCTCTTCTTTTTTGAACCCTCTCCAAGCCGACTTTCACCCCACTGCTTCACTAGAATTGCTCTTCATGAAATAGCCAGGGTCCTCCATGTGGCTAACTCTGGTAGTCAGTTCTCGGTCTGCTTGTCTTCTTGCTTTTCCAGAAGGCAGCTGTCGGTGTAACTACCCCCCGACTCCTTCTTGGTACTCTATTCACTTGGCTTCATTTCCTTCACTTGGTGGGTTAGGTGGCTTTTTTGATACCTGACAGTCTTGACTCTTCTCTCTGTCCTGGCTGTTCCTTCTCATTCTCTTCGCCGGTTTTTCCCCATCTCTCTGATTTCAAGGTGAGAGTGTCCAGGGCTCAGTCTTCTGACCTTACTGCAGAACTTTTCGAAATTCGCATCTGTTTGTATTTACACTCATTCTTGTGGTGATCTCATGCAGCCATTTGACTTTAAGCACCACCTACACCGTGAACCTTCCTGTTTTTATATTTCTGCCCAAACCCTGAATGCTACACACAGACATCCATGCCTGATCAAGCATTCTACCTGGATGTCAGATAAATGTCCAAATCTCAACTCCTCATATCCCTTGCACCTGCAAAACCGCTCCTCCCTTAGGCTCCATCTTCTCAGTAAATGGCAACTTCATTCTCCTGGATGTTCAGAACTATACGGTCCTCCTTCTTGTCTCTCTTCCATACTTATCATCCAATCCATCAGAAAATCCTATAGACTCCATTTTCAAAGCAAAATGTTAGTCGAATTCTAACCACTGTTTTACTTATTAATTTATTGTCTGTCTGCTCCTACTAGAATGGAAGCTCCCTAAGCAGAGGGATTTCGTCATTTTCTTCACTGCTATGTTGCATTACCTAACACATATAGGCATTCAGTAAATATTTATTAAGTTAATAAAAGTTTGTCTAATCCTTTCACCAGGGGTCATACCTACCAGGATCAGGTGTTCAAAATAAGCAGGTGAAGTGGGTTGGGTGTGTGGCACCCACCAGGGTGTCTTCCTAGCTTCAACTAAACATTCACTCATGAGAGGTTACAAAGACCACAATGGCACCAGCCTATTCAGAAGGACATAGGGCAGGAGCCAGAACTTGCTGGCAGGGCAGTGTCCCATTCTCCTCCCCAACCAGCATACTTGCAACAGCATTCCAGGAAGTAGTCCACAGAGCCCTCTAC